TGTGAGAGGATTCACCAGAGACAGAGCGGGGAACAGAACAGGCAGATTGACTGAAATACACTGCTGAGGGGAGCAGTGGGTGAGTCAGGAGAGATTTGCTGCACCAAGTGGGTAGCTCCCTGGCCAGGGATCGAGCTTGAGCTGCAGTGGCTACGGATTGCTTCATAAGTTGTGTCTTAACCCCTTGCACCACCAGGGAGACCCTCCATTCTTTTTTTTTGTTTTTTAAAGATTTATTTATTTATGCATACAAGAACTGGGGTGTAGGCCAGAGGTGTAGGGGGTAAGAAGATTCACCAGAGACAAAGTGGGGCACAGAACAGGTGGAATGACTGAAATACAGTGCTGAGGGAACCAGTGGGTGAAACGGGAGAGGTCTGCTGCACCATGTGGGTAGCTCCCTGGTGGGCTGGGGATTAAACTCTTGGTGCAGAGGCTGTGGATAGCTTCACAGTGCTGTGCTTACCGCCTTGAGCCACCAGGGAGGCCTGATCATCTCCATTCTTCTATTTTAGATGTCAGCAAACTTTTTCAGAGGGGCCATAGTCCATATTTTAAGGTTTCTTGTGAGCCACACGTGTCTCTGCTCACATTGTTTTTATAATTCTTTAAAAATGTTGAATACAGGGCCTCCCCGGTGGCGCAGCGGTTGAGCGCTGGGTTGCGAAGCTGCCTGTGGCCTCTGCAGTGCCGGTTCGATCCCTGGCTGCTCCCCGGCCACCGGAGGAGGGTCCCACATGGCGCGCAGACCTCTCCTGCCACCCGCTGCTCCCCTCAGCAGTGTACTTCGGTCCTTCTGCCTGCTCTGCTCCCTGCTCTGGTGAATTCTCTCGCCCTCCCACGCTTCTGACTGTACCCAGTGCATGTATAAACAAAACAAACAAACAAATAAATAAATAAAACATGCCTCTATAAAAAAAAATAAATAAAAATAAATAAAAATAAAAATGTTGAATACAGTTTTTTCTCTCAGATGCACAAAAATAGACTGAGAATCAAGGGTTGACTTCTTAAAGCCTAGTCTTCCATGTTTCTTAAGGCAAAGGATGTTTCTGGGTGCATCTGTATTTGCTGACAGGGGTTTTGGCACAGCATCAGGTTCTTATATAGTGTTTCCTTGGCCATTTCAAAATCTGTCCAATACTGGTCTCTTATATGTAAACATTTTCTCTGCAGGATTCTTAGGTGGCAAGAAGTGAAGTTGGAACTATTGGAACTTTTTTGCTTATACCAGTGGTTCTTAACATGGGATGGTGGGATGGTTTTTACCCACCTGAAGACTTTTGGCAATGTCTGGAGACATTTTCAGTTGCTTAACGGCTTGGATAAAGGCCAGCATGCTACTAAAATTCCTATAATACAGAGGAAAACCCTTCCTGCTAACAAAGACATATCTGGCATATAGGTCAATAGTGCGAAGGTTTAGAAACTGGTTATACGATGGGATTGGTCTCTATTTAGTGGACACTTTTCTCTTTACTCCATTGTGGGACCTTACAAACCTGATACTATTATCAGAGTTGAGGGTTCCAGGTGGTTGTTGGGTGGCAGTTTGCCCGATAAACTAAGGGCTTGTCATAGCAAATCTTCTGTAGTTCTGCAAGGATTTTTTTTTTTTTTTTTAGTATTTATTCATCTATGCATACAAGAGCTGGGGTACAGGCCAGAGATGTGGAAGGTGAGAGGATTCACCAGAGACAGTGGGGAACAGGCAGACTGACTGAAATACACTGCAAAGGGGAGCAGCGGGTGAGACAGGAGAGGTTTGCCTCACCGTGTGGGTTTCTCCCTGGCTGGCCGGGGATTGAACTTGTGCTGCAGAGGCTACAAATTGCTTCATAGTGTGATGCTTAACCCCTTGTACCACCAGGAAGGCCCAGGATTCTTTTTTTTTTTTTTTTTTTAATTTCTTTATTTCTTTATTTCTTTTTTTTTTTTTTAATTTTTTTTTTTTTATAGAGGCATGCTTTATTTATTTATTTGTTTGTTTGTTTTGTTTATACATGCACTGGGTACAGTCAGAAGCGCGGGAGGGTGAGAGAATTCACCAGAGCCAGAGCGGGGAGCAGAGCAGGCAGAAGGACCGAAGTACACTGCTGAGGGGAGCAGCGGGTGGCAGGAGAGGTCTGCGCGCCATGTGGGACCCTCCTCTGGTGGCCGGGGAGCAGCCGGGGATCGAACCGGCGCTGCAGAGGCCGCGGGCAGCCTCGCAACCCAGCGCTCAACCGCTGCGCCACCGGGGAGGCCCTCTTTATTTCTTTATACAAGCACTGGTACAGTCAGAAGCGCGGGAGGGTGAGAGAATTCACCAGAGCCAGAGCAGGGAGCAGAGCAGGCAGAAGGACCGAAGTACACTGCTGAGGGGAGCAGCGGGCGGCAGGAGAGGTCTGTGCGCCATGTGGGACCCTCCTCCGGTGGCCAGGGAGCAGCTGGGGATCGAACCGGCGCTGCAGAGGCTGAGGGCAGCCTCGCAACCCAGCGCTCAACCACTGCACCACCAGGGAGGCCCAAGGCCCAGGATTCTTAAAGTTGCCATCACCTCTCCAGAAAATTTAGAGCAGTTGTCTCACTCAAGCATCTTTATCCTTTGGTCCTGGTTTTTCTGTCTCATCATATTCTTTACTTTTAGTGAATAGTAATTTTAATGACCCTAGTGGTCATTGCTCTGTTGCTTGGATGTCTCCTGGGGTTGATTTTGTAATCTCTCAGTGGGCAGCACGTTTATTTCATCACTAGAAATGGGTGTCATATGGGAGGCGAATGCACAAATTATCTACTATTTTTGCTTAGTGATTACCCTATGAGTATACAAATAGGCATTTGGTGGGTTCAGATTTTTCAGTCATACATGATTAGAGTATGATTATCATGGGTTATGAAAGTTGGTCACCTGAGGGTTCTAGGAAGAAGGGGGAGGACAGCACTAAGTAAATGCCAGCTTTGTGCTCTGGGCTTGTTTTATCTCATTTAATCTTCACAGAAAAGCCAGGGGAGGTAAAGATTATCACAGCTTTGGCTTTATAGATAAGCTGAAGTTCAGTGAGGTTAAGTAATTTGTTCTTCCCAAAGAACAAATGGCTGCATTTCTACATGTAGTGTGTTTAACTGCGGAGAAATGTAGCTGGTTGAGGGACAACACAAACATAAAGTTACCTAGAAGGTTAGGAAAGTGAAGTTATGGCTCTTTACTGGAGAAAGGAAGGAGGAAGCTGGGGGATAAAATGGAAAGGGACTTTGTATAAAAAGACATTACTCAAAAAAAAAAAAAAGACATTACTCATTGAAATAAATTCTTAGGATGATTGGTTGTAATTTTTTTTTAAAAAGACTTATTTATTATTTATGCATACAAGAACTGGGGTACAGGCCAGAGGTGTGGGGGGTGAGAGGATTCACCAGAGACAGTGGGGAACAGAACAGGCAGATTGATTGAAACACAATGCTGAGGGGAGCAGCAGGTGGGTCAGGAGAGGTCTGCTGCGCAATGTGGGTAGCTCCCTGGTTGGGAATCAAACTCGTGCTGCAGTGGCTGTAGACATCTTCATATATTGTGTCTAACCCCTTGCGCCACCAAGGAAGCCCCGGTTGTAATTCTTGAATAGGAAAGAAGGGATTTCTATGAATTGTGTTAACATTGTGTCATGTTAGTTTGCAGTAAAATAATACATATGGACATTTTCTTCATACCTGTTTTCATTTTTTTACTCTATCAACTACTATTCATAAAACTAAAATAAGGCAAACATTCTAGTAACCACTCAGAGGACTGTTTCAGTTTAAGCTGAGAGAAGAATCCCATCTTTTGTATGCATTATACTATATCGTAAACTTTATGCAAATTTACATACAATACAAAAATGTGACTATAGTATCAAAAAATTAAACATTCGAAATGATTTTTACCATTCCTAAGGTAACTTTTTGACAAAGACATATGCATACTTTAGAGAGAGAGCAAATTTGTAAAGCTTTATAGAAGTCTAGTATGATTTCTAGATTCATATATTTCGTAAAAGCTCTAGTTCCTGGATTGCCTACATGTGCACTCACTTGACTAAAAGCCACATTGACCAGTGTTGGCTCTGAGTGCTTAAATGTTTTTCAACTTTACTCTTGAAGGAATAGCATTTGTTACCTTCAAGGATATTTATACTGTAGGGTTCTATAAACATAATCTAGAAGGGAAATTTTGAGTAAAAATGACATCCTAGAAATAGTGACATCAATAATCTGAGTTTCAATTTTGAACATTAGAATGAAAAAAGTTATTTAATACCTCATAGTGTAGCCATATCTTTAAATCCACTTGTCATTGCCTTATGTGTGCTGTAAAGATAGGAGGGAGGGTTGCCATTAACATTGTCCCTTCATTGTTTGAAACTAGAAGTGATCATACATTTGTTATTCAAACAGAAATTTTATTTTTTTTTCAATAAATAAGTCTTTTTTAAAGATTATTTATGTGTACAAGAGCTGGGGTACAGGCCAAAGGTGTGGGGGATGAGAGAATTCAACAGAGACAGAGTGGGGAACAGAACAGGCAGACTAACCGAAATATACTGCTGATGGGAGAGGGAATAAGGAGAGGTCTGGCTCGCCATGTGTGTTGCTCCCTGCCTAGCTGGGGATCAAACTTGTGCTGCAGGGGCTGCGGATTGCTTCATAGGTTGAGTCTTAACCCCTTGCGCCACCAGGAAGACCCTCAAAGAGAAATTTTATTATTGGTAGTACCTCAGGACAGGATTGATTGGGTCATTTTACCAAGAGGTCAAGTAGAGATTAGGGAAGTGTGAGTAGAAGTGCATGATGACAGGATTTTCTCCAAGAGGTCAATTAGAAATTAAGGATGGATGAATGAAGTTCAGGAAATGGGCATTTTAACATTTCAAAGAATTATCAGTAGATGCATTTTATGTCACTTCTTGGTTCTGTGTCATTTGTTTTTGAGTAAGCAACGATGTTTTACATCCTCAAAATGTGTTCTTGACTTAAACTCCCAGATTTAAATTTTGAGAAGAATAGTTCAGTTTCCCGGTATGGAGCCTCTCAAATTGAAGATATGGGGAATATAATTTTAGCAATGATTTCAGAGCCTTACAGTAAGTATTGCTTTTGTAACAACATGGATCTAGAATTTGATCCCCCCCTTTCTTGCTCATATATACTGTTGAATTTTCTCCAGTTTTGTCTTGATAACTAAAACAATGACTTATATGTTGTTATTTTTAGATCATAGGTTTTCAGATCCGGAGAGAGTAAATTACAAATTTGAAAGTGGCACTTGGTAAGTCCTTGAGTGCTGTTCCATTTGAGTCTTTTTTTTTTTTTTTAATTCATATCGTGATATGTAACTTCTTCATTAAATCTTTTGGATATCCTTTTTTTTTTAAATATTAGATCATTTGTAAAAGAAGACTGTGTTAAAGAAACATTGTGGGGTTTAAAATTTATGAAACATTTGCATCTATAGTCACTATGATCTTAGGTACATCAGATTTTTTATTTTGGTTTCTATCAACTATTCATCCTCTCCATGGAAAACTTCCAAAGGAAAAAAATCATAGGCTTTAAATGATTTTTACTCAGATAATTTTAAGTAAGTTCTATCAGCTTCTACTTTAAAGCAAAGGAAATAGCTGGGGAGGAGTATGAAGTGGTGTTATCTCTGTTTGTGATCACAGTAGACCTGTTTAAGTTTGTAAATCACTATGTGAATTGCATGAGATTGCCTAGTGCTGTAGGTGAACAGAAACTCGCATCTGCCCATAGAGAGACATTGAGGACTATTTATTGTGGGGAAGGTGACTCATTAGGGAAATATCCTAGGAGTACTGAAAATATGAATATGAGAGGAATAGAACATCAAAAAACACCAATATATATAACTGGTGATTTGCAAATGACTCACTAAGGTGTGGGGACTCAAGCATTTCCATAAACACTCTGATGGCCCCCTGTTTGATAGGAGAGATACTTTAATGGCAGACTTCTGGCCTCATGCACACATTCCTGTTGTAGGCTAATTGCCAGCTTTATGTGGACTTTAAATTTGTTGTCAAACTGGATTTAACCCCGACTCATGTACTGGCTGGATTTGAGAGTGGATTTAAACTTCCTTGGTTCTAGGACTTTACTATCCATCAGGGTATTGGGAAAACTCTGCTTCCTATGAATTGATCCTGGATTCTTTTGATTTTGTGAGAAGCAAGCACTTCCTCATCTGCTAAATGGTTTGCAGAGTATTGAACCTACAGTTTTGAAACTGCACAGTCACCTTTCTATGGTAAACTGCCTAAAGACTACATTGAACTGTGCTCAGATAATTTTTTTTTAAACTATGAAAGAGCTTTTTTTTTTTAAAGATTTATTTATTTATTTATTTATGCATACAAGCACTGGGTACAGTCAGAAGCGCGGGAGGGTGAGAGAATTCACCAGAGTCAGAGCCGGGAGCAGCGGGTGGCAGGAGAGGTCTGCGCGCCATGTGGGACCCTCCTCTGTGGCAGGGGAGCAGCTGGGGATCAAACCGGCTCTGCAGAGACTGCGGGCAGCTTCACAACCCTGCGCTCAGCCGCTGCACCACCGGGGAGGCCCATGTGCTCAGATAATTGTTGAGGTTGTGATGTCTGTCTGAACCCAAAGAATGAATTCCTCAGGCTTAACTAAGCAAATTTGTCTTACAGGGGAATAGATCAGACACACTAGAATTAATCATAAAACCTGAACTTTTGTTTGGTCCACAGCAGCAAGATGGAACTTATTGATGACAATACTGTCGTCAGAGCTCGAGGTTTACCATGGCAATCTTCAGATCAAGATATTGCCCGATTCTTCAAAGGACTCAATATTGCCAAGTTGGTTTTCTTTAATCTCTCTCTTTTTTAATAATCCCATAGGGATAGTGGGTTTCCCATAATTCTTTTCCTCACTGTGTTTTTTTTCTACTGCCATCTGTTCTTCTTTATTTTCACAGGGGAGGTGCAGCACTTTGTCTGAATGCCCAGGGTCGTAGGAATGGAGAAGCTTTGGTTAGGTTTGTAAGTGAGGAGCACAGAGACCTAGCACTGCAGAGGCACAAACATCATATGGGGACTCGGTACATTGAGGTATGGCCTCACAGTCTGCGACCTTTGACCTTTTGCATGAATATTAACATTAGAGAGTTGAGACACTATATTTAATTTCTTTTTCTTTTCATAGGTTTACAAAGCAACCGGTGAAGATTTTCTTAAAATTGCTGGTGGTGAGTACTTTATATAATACAGTTATCATAGGAAAATTTAAGATTTACATCTATGCCAGGGATAGAGGAATTAGGGTCATAAATGGTTTTTTACTTCACAGTGAAACACAAAAATTAATTCTTTTCTAATAAGTGGAAGAAACATCAATAATATCAATGAGTTTGATGTATAACACTTGCCCTGAGTCTTTTTTTTTTTTAATAGAGGCATGTTTATTTATTTGTTTGTTTGTTTGTTTTGTTTATACATGCACTGGGTACAGTCAGAAGTGCGGGAGGGTGAGAGAATTCACCAGAGCCAGAGCGGGGAGCAGAGCAGGCAGAAGGACCGAAGTATATTGCTAAGGGGAGCAGCGGGCGGCAGGAGAGGTCTGCGCGCCATGTGGGACCCTCCTCTGGTGGCCGGGGAGCAGCCGGGGATCGAACCAGCGCTACAGAGGCCGCGGGCAGCTTTGCAACCCAGCGCTCAACCACTGCGCCACCGGGGAGGCCCTTGCCCTGAGTCTTCAGTCAACCAATCATAGTTGCTATTAACAGTAGTGTTATATAAAGGTGAAGAGTCACATGAAGTTGTGTGTAAAGGGAAAGATTTGTTTCTAAAAGAATTTCAATATTCTGGAAGCTACTTTGAAATTGCCACACCAGACTACCAGGAATTGTTGAATATCTGCTCTTAGTTTTTCTCTAAACTTCCTTAACTGATAAGTGACAAGGAAACGTATAGCTTGCTAGTTTCTTGTGTTTGGGATATGTAGTGTCTGTAGTAACATGGTCAGAAAAAGATTCATAATTCTAAAAATAGCAGATGCGTGAAAACTATTAGCTGGTTTTTCTGACAGGTTTTTTCCATACATATAACTCCCTTATATATTCCTGTTGTGTTCATACTGCTTTTTAATTTCCTCTCCTTATAATATATTATCAATATCTTTCTATATTAACACAAATATTCTTAAATATTAATTGCTATATGGTATTATATTTATAATGTTTTTTAAAACACCCATTAGACATTTAGAGATTATTTCCAACTCTTCACTCTATTTTGCAGTGAATTTTTTACCTCTGTAAAGGTAATTACATGTGTTAGGATAAATGTATTAAGATGTATTAGAATAAATCTCTAAAAGAAGGATAACTGAATCAAAGAATGTGGGTAAACCTTTTAAGAGGCTTTTGACATTTATTGCCAAAATATAATAGGTTGACCTTCACTTAAATACAGAGAACATTTGTATCCCTCCATTGTAGAGTTCTGGTGAAAATCTTTGCAACTGTAGAACTTGTAGTAACTGCATCCTGTTTGCACAGTTTTCTTAGTATATTTCTGTTCTAGCATTTGGGGCTTTAGATAATCCAAGGCTTCGAAATTCAGAGCTTTGAGATTAATATTTCTGAAGTTCCAAAGCAATGCTTAGTATTAGTTGGAGATAAAGTACACTTGGATTTGCTCCGGTTCTGAGTCTCTGTAATAGGTAATAGATTGCAGATGGTAAAGTTAACTAATGTTCACATTAATGCTTAGGATTTCATGGTATGTGGGCAGTATGTTAAGAATTTGCTCTTAAGCAAAAATGTTACTAGTATATTGAACTTGAAGACTGTGTATTTGAGTATTTTCTACGTGGCAGTTCTGTACAAAATGTTTTATGTTAAGCAGAGTGTTGATAAATGTTGAAATTGACTGCCAAGTAAATTTCTTATACTATTTTTTCTCTTTTTTTTAAAGATTTATTTATTTATTATTTATACAAGCACTGGGTACAGTCAGAAGCACGGGAGGGTGAGAGAATTCACCAGAGCCAGAGTGGGGAACACAACAGGCAGACTGATGAAGTACACTGCTGAGGGGAGCAACAGGCGGCAGGAGAGGTCTGCACGCCATGTGGGACCCTCTCCTGGCAGCTGGGGATTGAACCGGCGCTGCGGAGGCTGCGAGCACCTTCGCAACCCAGCACTCAACCGCTGCGCCACCAGGGAGGGCCACGTATACTATTTTTTCTACTTGAATTGGCTTGCACCTTTCTTAATAAAAAGTAATGAGGAAAATTAAAAAATCACCAAAGTGCTTTCTATGCATTAACTTATCTCTCATAAATTAGAAGCTAGGTAATTTTTACTCCCCATTTTGCAGATATAAGACCCTAAGACACGAAGGTTAAACCTTACTGAGGTCACGCTCAGTAAGTAAAGTAAATAAAGGTAAATATTGGACCTTGAGGGGCCTCCCTGGTGGTACAAGAGTTTAAATCTCAGCACTATGAACTACCAACAGCCATTGCAGATCAGTCTGTTCTGCTCCCCACTCTGTCTCTGTTGAATCCTCTCAACCCATGCACTGCTGTCCTATAGCCCAGCTCTTGTATGCATAAATAAGTAAAATAAATCTTAAAATAAAGATTGAGGGCCTTCCTGGTGGTGCAAGGGTTAAGACGCAACCTATGACGCTATCCACAGCTACTGCAGCACGAGTTTGATTCCTGGCCAGCCAGGGAGCAACCCACATGGCGCAGCAGACTTCTGATTCTCCTGCTGCTCCCCTCAGCCATGTACTTTGGTCAATCTGCCTTTTCTGTTCCCCATTCTGTTTCTGATGAATCCTCTCAACCCACCCCCACACCTCTGGCTTGCTCTTGTATGCATAAATAAATAATTCTTAAAAATAAAAAGATTGGACCTTGACAGAAGCTGTCCTTTATCACCATGATGACTTACTGCCTCTCCAGGAGATGAATACAGTGATTTATCCATGGTTTGTCTGGCTACCTTCCTAAATTTAGGAAGGTGTTTATGAGAATGGTAGGAGAAAATGTTTAAATTTATGACAAGAGAATTGTTTCATGGATGTTATGAATTCAGTGGGAGTGTGCATCAATTATGAATTTTTAAAAAAAGTTTTATACATACAAGAACTGTGTATCAGTCAGAGGGGCAAGGTAAGGGGGCGAGAGGTTTCACCGGGGACAGAGTTGAGGGCAGAACAGGCGGACTGACTGAAATACACTGCTGAGGGAAGCAGAGGGTGAGACAGGAGGGGTCTGCTGCTCCATGTGGGTTAGCTCCCTGGCTGGGGATTGAACTCATGCCACAGTAGCTGATAATAGCTTGACAGTGCTGAGAGTAACCCCAGTGCCACCAGGGAGGCCCATCAACTATGATCTTAAGACAAGAATGTTGTCATGTAAAATTTGGTAAATTTGACAGTTTAACCATTTTTTCCCTTGCATCCTTATATTTGTGTTCCCCAGGTACTTCCAATGAGGTAGCCCAGTTTCTCTCCAAGGAAAATCAAGTCATTGTCCGTATGCGGGGGCTCCCTTTCACTGCCACAGCTGATGAAGTAGTAGCCTTCTTTGGACAGCATTGCCCCATCACTGGGGGGAAGGAAGGCATCCTCTTTGTTACCTACCCAGATGGTAGGCCAACAGGGGATGCTTTTGTCCTCTTTGCTTGTGAGGAGTATGCACAGAGCGCGCTGAGGAAGCATAAGGACTTGTTGGGCAAAAGGTACATTGAACTCTTCAGGAGCACAGCAGCTGAAGTTCAGCAGGTTGGTGTTTTCAAGAGCATGTTGATGACTTTGCATTAATTTCTGTCATTTCTAAAAGCAACCCAACATCCCTCACCATGTTAAAACTGAAATACTAAATGTTTTTAAATGTGAACTATTGCTACAGTTATACCTTTTTATTCTGCTTTAAAACTATGTGTTTTAAAAGTTTACTCATACCTAAAAATTTTTCATCTTGAAATCAACATCTCATAAAAGTACATAATTTATAAATTCTGCTTATATTTGGGTTTTTTTTCCTCCTCTCATAGAAATTTTAGATGAGCAGGCCATTTAAATTCTCAATTTCTGATGGATTTTGTTAGCACTAAATTGAAACTCTGACCTTTCAAGGTTGTAATGTCTAGGTAAATTTATTTCTCAAAATTCTTGATAAGTTTCACACTGCTGTTGACAGTGTAAAGGTCCAATGGTGCCCTTTTGTCCCGTTATTAGCTTTCAAAATTCAGTGTTGGTTTTGAGGTATAGTTGGGATAATCAGTTTCTGAAAACAAACTAAGATCCTAGCATGAAGCCATCTATAAGTTCTTAAGCCTTTTTGGCTATTCATCTTGACTTAGCAGCTGCATATTGTTGGCTTTAAGGGTCAGTTAGTATTTCCTTTGTAAAATAACTGCCTATTGTTTTTTTTTTTTTAAAGATTTATTTATTTATACAAGCACTGGGTACAGTCAGAAGCATGGGAGGGTGAGAGAGTTCACCAAAGACAGAGCATGGAGCAGAACAGGCAGACAATGGAAAGCACTGCTGAGGGGAGCAGTGGGCGAGGCAGGAGAGGTCTGCTGCGCCATGTGGACATCTCCCTGGCCAGCCGGGAATTGAACCAGTGCTGCAGAGGTTGTGGACAGCTTCACAGTGCTTCGCCACCAGGGAGGCCCATAACTGCCTATTGCTGAGGAACTTTCATCTGTTAGGATTTTTGGTTGTTTTTTTTTTTAGCCTAGAATAAGTGAAATTTGAAGTTCTGTGTTTTATTGTACAGGTGCTCTTGTATCCTAATCTACAAACATACTTGTAATTTAAACAATTCTCTATCATACTGGAGTGAGGGTGATACTTTCTCAGTCTCTAAAATTTGCCAAGCATACTTAAATCTTCAAACATGACATAAAACCTTTCCAAACTAGAAGAAAGGTATTTTAAATCTTTACTTGTAAGAACAGTTTCATGGAAATCATGGTATAAAATGCACTCTCCCAGGCCTTGGCTACTACATATTGGCTTGGGTGTCAAGTCTTGTGCCTCTACATGATTCTACCATAAGATGGTTTAAATAAAGTGTGTGAACTTCCTCGCCACTTCCCCATCCCTGAAAATTTATTTAACAACTGCTAAAGTACACATAGGCTCTGCACTATCTTCTTTTCATTTCTAATAATCATTTTGTTCAGTAGTTGCTTACTCACCTCCTATTTGGCAAGTACCATAAAGAGCTTAACCATTCCTATTCTGAGTTTGTCTATAACTATATTTATTTATTCATGTTCTCCCCCTAATGTAAAAGACCTAAAGGTCTTTAAAGATGAACTCCAGGACAAATGCTAAAGGTAGTATGGAGTTCAAATGAATTCTGCTTCCATCTTCACATGTATCCATGATAATATCAATAAGCAAAATTGACTATGTTCTTACAGCATGTTAGTATATATTGTAAGCATATTAAAAGATTCCTTTTATGGTGTTTGTGCCATGTCTGAGATATTTGTATAATTTTTAAAGTTTTCTGCCTCTTTGTGATGAAATTCTTTGGCTATATTTGTTCTTTGATTTTTCTCACTTCTTAATTCAGATAACAATTGGACCAGTTGTGAGTAAAGACAGTAGGACAAATTTTTGAGAGATGATATATGTTGTATTTTCAGTGTACAGGATAATAGACTGCCATGGGAAATTGTTCTAAAAACCTGGGATCCCACATAAGGTGTTTGCACAAGGACCAAGTAGTTTTGAACATGGCTACTGGGTGATAATACTAAGACGGAAATAGACAAGAGAGTCATATGTGTTTTTACCTGGGAGCTATTCTTGATCCATTGTCAAAATAGCTGAATTCATCAATTTTAAAATAATCTTGATTCTGTTTTTCCACTCTCTCAAATTCACAACAAAACTAAATGGTTATTTTTGTGATTATAACATTTTTAAAAAAGATTTATTTTTTATTTAATTATAAATAGAAGAACTGGGGTGTAAGTCAGAAGTGTGGGGTGAGAGGATTCTCTAGAGACAGCCACTGTGGCAGATGTACTGAAATACACTGCTGAGGGGAGCAGCGGGTGAGACAGGAGAGGTCTGCTGCACCATGTGGGAAGCTCCCTGGCCAGTCATTTTACTCATGGCTGGCATAGCTTGATAGCGCTGAGACATTTTTCCTGTGCTGCCAGGGGGACCTGATTATAATGCTTTAAAATATTTTCCAACCATTCTGTGTTGTGTTTTGTATAGCATTACGAAGGTGGCATTATATTTTATATTATTCCAGGGTCATTGTTTGACCCATTTCCTTACTGAAGCATTCTGTATGTCTTCAGTTTGGATTTGTAACAATGTCAATGGGAAACAATATTGTGTGTATTTAGGGACTCCCTGGTGGCATAGGGGTTAAGTCTCAGTGCTACCACCTCTGTGGCCTGAGTTCATACCTGCCAGGGAGCTAACCCACATGGCACAGCAGACCTCTCCTGTCTCACCTACTGCTCCCCTCAGTAGTGTATTTCAGTAAATCCTCCTGTTCTGCTTCCTTCTCTGTGCCATGCAAAAATGAATAAATAAATATTTAAATCTTTAAAAAAATTATATGTATTTAGTGAAATGAAATTCCTTAGATACTCCCAAAGTCAGCCTTTACTATGTCCAGGTTTTTATACAAATAGCAAACTTCTTCAAAGATAGTGATCCATTTGTCCAGGTTGAGAAATGCTTCATCTAAGTGTGTTATGTTGTGTGTTTTATATATTTCAACTTGTGCTTGACAAGTTGATACCATGTTTTCCCAGCTGAAAATCATGACTGTCTTTCTCCATGGGTGTTTCCGAAATTTTAACATGCTTAAGAGTATCTGGGGATCTTGTTCAAATGCAGATACATATTCATTAGGTCTGAGGTGTAATTGAAATTCTGCATTTCTCACAAGCTCTCCCCAGTGATGCCAATGCTGGTCTGCAGACCATATGCAGCATCCAGCGTCTAAGTCACTTCTGTTTTGCTTTGAGCACAGGTGCTGAATCGATTCTCCTCGGCCCCTCTCATTCCACTTCCAACCCCTCCCATTATTCCAGTACTACCTCAACAATTTGTGCCCCCTACAAATGTTAGAGACTGTATACGCCTTCGAGGTCTTCCGTATGCAGCCACAATTGAAGACATCCTGGATTTTCTGGGGGAGTTCTCCACAGATATTCGAACCCATGGGGTTCACATGGTATTGAATCACCAGGTAAGAAAGTCATTTATTAGAAAAATGTTTTGTTTTTATTACTAAACACTCTCTTCCAATAAAATACTACAAATATTCACAATTAGAGGGTCTTTAAGAGAAGAATTGAACTATAAATGCATTTTAGATGTATTGTATTACAGATGTTCATTAAAGCTGCACTCCAGGAAGAATGCTAAAGTTAATATGGAGTCCAAATTAAGTGCTGCTTCCGTTATCACATGTATCCATGATATTATCAATAAGCAAAATCTAACCATACTCTTACAGTATGTCAGCATATATTGTAAGCATATTAAAAGTAATTCTTAGCATGGTGTTTTTTGATTTTGCTAAAAATTGATCATTTTGGTTGCTGAAAATTTGCAGTATATTGCGTTTTCCTAAGCAAGATAGAATTCTAAGAACCCACAATTCAAATAGTTCCAATTAAAATTTTGGAGTTCTTTGTTCAAAGGTACGTTGTGTTAATTTTTTGAAATGTTGTCTGAGCATTATAGATTGAAAACATAGGTTGTATTGGAAATACCAACTTTTTAAAAAAATTGCTTATTATCCACTTTTTCTTTTCATGTGGCAATTTGGATACAGGTAAATAAACACAATCCTATCTCACTAGAAAATGCAAGCTATTGAATTCCAGGAATCAGAAAATCCCCTGAGCATCTGTATAGTTTTCTACACCAGCACGTGCTCATTCTAATGCTTCCATCAATATTAAAACTATGCAACTTTTTATTGGACTAGTTACCCTCTCGGCCTGGCTTCAATGGTGGCAGTCCATTTCAATAAAATTCCCCACAATTCAACATTACCAGGGAATTGTTTGGTTTCTCTTTGAATCACCATAACTAGGGTCTATTATTACTCATTGATTAACAACAGTGAACAGATTTGCCTCTCCTTGACCCATGTGACCTACTGTGATTGCACTTGGGAGAAATTCTTTGATAATGAACATGTTCTTAGCTGCCTCAAAGATGTTAGGTTTCCATCTTGGATGGGGTTTGTTGCTAATTTCCCTGGTATGGTAACTCTTATGGTAACTTGCATGGTAATAATTTACACTGAATTGTCCATCAGAGAATTTTGAGGACATCCATAAAATATCTTGTAAGCTGATTTTCTTTCTCCCACATAAATGTCCGTTCTATGGAAAACTAAGGCACTGTAGTTCTGTGGAACAGAAATCTACCAGTTGGTTCTAAATAGAATTTTTAGCAAGCTATTAGTAATAGAAATGTCTACAAATGCCAGCTTGACCAAGATTTCAGGCAGAAGTGCAAGGGAGGAAGTGAAAGAACTTATAAGTAATGCTGCTAATACAGCTTTCACCAACCTACACTGTGCTCTGCAACTCCCAATTCTTTATCCTCATTTCCTAGTTTAATCTACATTCCAACCTAGGCTTCAGGGATGAGGGAGAAGCAAAAGGGAATTTGCAGGTCAGTCAGTGATGGATAGAACTAGAGCCAAAAGCAAACACTGGTTTGTTCATTTTCATGTAGGTGGATACATGAAACTCTAATACTGGTTCTGTTACTAGCTTTTCTCAGTCGAATGAGATTTAATCGGATTTTTCAGAAGGGGTAAAACTCAATATTCAATCTTATACTTTGAAACCACAGTCACAAGGAGACCCTTTCAAAACTCTGTAAATCTGATGCTAATTAATAGAAACCCAAAAGGGATCATTTTCAGCTCAGAGCTCTCAAAACTGTTTCTTCAAGGTTTTGTGGGCCAGTTTGGTGATTAGGTGATGAAATGCAAGTCAGATTTCAGTAGATCACACTGTCACCCAGATTTTGTGGCTAAAATGTCTATACTACGGGTGATTGTCACATTGCATGTTTTGTAAGCAACCATTTCCTTGTTGAAGGAGACAGTCTCCTTTTGTTTCTATTCTTCCCCCACACGCTCAGGGCCGCCCATCAGGAGATGCCTTTATCCAGATGAAGTCTGCGGACAGAGCGTTTATGGCTGCACAGAAGTGTCATAAAAAAAACATGAAGGACAGATATGTTGAAGTCTTTCAGTGTTCAGCTGAGGAGATGAACTTTGTGTTAATGGGGGGCACTTTAAATCGAAATGGCTTATCCCCACCGCCATGTAAGTTACCATGTAAGTTTTTCTTGGGTCTTGGCGCTATTCTACGCTATATGCTGGTAGGTGCTTAAGCTGCTTTCATAACTTTCTGTGCCCCTGGTTCTTTCTGAGGCAAGTGAGGTGGTTACATAAGGCTTTCCCATCTGAAATCGGTAGTATGTGGTAATCATTTAAGGCCTTGGTTGTGGACACCCATAATTAGAGATGCTACAAATACCTCCTTTCAAATTATATTCTTGCTTTTCCAGTGATAATCACTTGATTTCTAAAGCTTAGTGTGCTCAAGATAAGCACTGACTCTGGGAGGCAACCTGGCTAGTAGATATTTTAATACGCATTTAAAGGTAAAATAAGTATGGCCAGATGCTTTTATTTTTTTATCTAACACATTAAGCTCTTTTTTTTTTTTTTAAAGAAGATTTGATGCCCAATGCTCAATTTCTTGAGCATTGAGTATTTTTGGGAAAAGATAGCCTGGAGAGCACTTCTCTTGCTCTCCAGGGTATCTGGAATGAGCAAGTTAGTGAGAAAAAAAATAAATATATAAATGCGTAAATAAGCCAAAGTTTCCATTGGATCACAGGATCAGTGCTTAATTTCAAGCCATGCTCTTGCTCATTGGCACCTGGGTGCAGGTCATCTGGTCTCCTGTTTGAGAGGAATAAGCCCTTTTAGAGAGTAAGTTCTGGCTAGTAGCTAAGGAACATTTGGGGATCTGAAGATAAAACTTGAATTTTTTAATGCACTTTTCACTTTTGAATAAGACATACCTTGATAGGAGACAGTTGGGTATGTTTAAAGAATGTAGCAGTTGGAATACAGTCCAAAGACAAGTGAGAAAATACACCAAATTATGTGCTTGATTCCAATAAAATGGGAAGTGTTAGGATATTACTTTCCAGTCAAAAGGGATGGTTGCCAATATACCCGTTTGATAAAGTGTTAGTAACATTTGGTGGGGCTTAATCCTTGTATTCCCTGGAATTCCTAAATGCTAATATTCCATTTATCTGCTGCTTGCTATTGGTGAATATCTAAAAGTTGAATTTCAATGAATATTGAGTTTTGAAAATTTGTTTAAGTAAATACCGTAGAATAATCTTAATCATTTATATATTGTCCATGAACCACAGATATTAATCAGGAACTTTTATGGTTTCAATTAGTGATAATCTACCAAGCATTCTGAGATATGGGAATTTCTCCATCATGTGTAATCAAAATTCTTGTGTCTATATCCTTTTACTTTTCTCTCTTCCTGGTAGAAAACTGGTTGTTACAGAGTTTTTTCATAAGACTTTAATTCCTTTCCTCCCCCCACAAGCCCTAAAGTAAACCGAAAATGCATTTTTTCCACAAAAAACTATTTCCCTATCTTTTTATTACTTTATATAAAACTTTTAACTGAAATTTGGCCATTTTGTTTTCTGTGTAAGAGTTTACTCATTTAAAAAAAAAAAGCAGAACTCCAAATTATACATGCTAATATTATGTCTGTTCTACTAAACTTCTGTCAACTCACTTTAAGTGATTACCCATTTATATAACCATCAAAAATATTTAGAGAAATTTTGAGTCAATCTCAGTGACTAACGTAGTAAAATAGTGAAATCTTGTTAAAGATTGAAAGGAAATTCTGAACTCTTACTGTTTTAAAGCCTTAAATTGAATTTGTTCATTGAAATTTAACATTTTCAATGAGTTGACTATATGAAGGTCATGTCCATTTTCCTAGTCCATGAATATACACTAATTCTCTTGTAGATTCCTAAGACTACCTGTCCTTTCATTTGAGGAATACCTAAGCCTGAGCAATCTAATCTGTCTAAATCTCAGAAATTTGTTTTCAGGCAGAAAACTAGTACTACACCTAGGGTATATGCTTGTCTCATTGGTATAAAGCACTGTCATTTTACAAATCACATGACAGGGGCCTCCCTGGTGGCCTAAGGGTTAAGTTTCAGTACTATCACCAGGACTGCCTGAGTTCTTTCACCTGGAAGGGAGCTAACCCACATATGGTAAAGCAGACCTCTCCTGTCTCGCCCGCTACTCCCCTTAGCAGTGTATTTCAGCAGATCCACCTGTTTTGCTCACCACTTTTGTCTCTGGTGAATCCTCTCTCTCACACCCCCCCCCCATACCTCTGGCCTACACCTCAGTTCTTCTATGCATAAATAAATAAATCTTAAAAAACAAAAATCACATGAGGGGCTTCCCTAGTGGCGCAAGGGGTTAAGATGCAACCTATGACTGTATCTGCAGCCTGAGTTCAATCCCCAGCCAGGGAGCTACCCACATGGCACAGCAGACCTCTCCTGACTCGCCCGCTGCTCCCCTCAGAGTGTATTTCAGTCAATCTGCCTGTTCTGTTCCCACTCTGTCTCTGGTGAATCCTCTCACTGCCCCCCACCCCACACCTCCAGCCTGTACCATGGTTCTTGTATGCGGTTCTTAAAAAAAAAATATTTATGCATACAAGAGCTGGGTACAGGCCAGAGATGCAGGGGGTGAGAGAATTCACCAGAGACAAAGTGCGGTACAGAACAGGCAGACTGACTGAAAAACACTGCTGAGGGGAACAGCAGGCGAGACAGGAGAGGTCTGCTTCGCCATGTGGGTTTCTCTCTGGCCAGCCGGGGATCAAACTTGTGCTCCAGAGGCTGGGGATTGCTTCATAGCGCGGTGCTTAACCCCAGGGAGGCACCATAAATGAATAAATCTTAAAAAAAAAAAATCACATGAAAGTTTTGAAAGCAGGATATGAACACAGGTTTTATACTTTTCTGTATGATTTAGGTGCCCCGATTTGTTCTTTTTGTTCTTTGTGGACTCCTTAACGCCAGGAAATCAGTTTTAAAATTTACTTATAGTATGTATCTGACATGAATAATAACTTTTGGTGAGTATTAAAAAGGTACCCAAAAGTTGAATATGAGATCAGTATGTTGATCTTTTGGTTCATGTACCTGTATTCAGTTGACTTTTACTTATCTTTAGGGACATGTAGGAACTTTTAAGAATGAAAGACAATAGAGATTGTCATGTAAAACATTACTCCTTGGCCCTTTGCTGCTTGTAAAATAAGTTAGCTGGTTCTAGATGTGAAAGTTGAAGTCAGGGATTCAATTCAGGCAACCTCTCATTTATCTCTTCTGTCAGGTAGAGATAGTCTGTATACTTCTCTTCATTCCTGTGTTAAAGCCAGTGATCAGCACCTAGTCTGACCTGAGTGAGTTGGTGGACCTGTGAGATGTGGATAACCAGAAGGAAAAGGAGTTTGATCCTATTTTCTATTTAATCTGAGTTAGCTGGGTATCCATGACTCTCATGAAGACTTGGGCATTTATTTCCTTGGGGCTATTTTCGAGGTTGGAATGCTTTTTTTTTGTTTGGTTAGGTTTTTTTTTTTAAAAGATTTATTTTTTTATGCATACAATAACAGGGGTACAGGCCAGAGGTGAGGGGATGAAAGGATTCACCAGAGACAAAGTGGGGGGCCGAACAGGCAGACTGACCAAAATACACTGCTGAGGGGAGCAGTGGGTGAGTCAGGAGAGGTCTGCCACACCATGTGGGTTTCTCCCTGGCCGGGGATCAAACTCAGTGCTGCAGTGGCTGCGGATAACTTCATAGTTTGGGTCTTAACCCTTTGCGCCACCAGGGAGGCCCTGTTAGGGGCCTTGGTTAGGTCTTTAATGGACTTGACGATATAGACTAGATACATCTAGGGTTTCCTTTTGGTAGAAATAATACACTTAACTTACTACTCCTTCTCTGCTTTGACATGATCAATGGTGCTGGTGAACAGTGTTTAATCACAACTTTTCATTTTATACTGTGCTATAGAGTAAATAACAGGATGGACTAGCAACATGGCTCTTAAAAGTTCTACTGTATTGAATTATTAGTCTCGTGTTTCCTTCCTCAAAGATATAGTTTCCATCCTCTTTCTCAGAAACAAATAAAAAAATCAGCCCTTGAGAAATGGTTGAGAAGACTTGAACATCCATCCATTTGATATTTTTTCTAAACTTCAAACCAAGAATGTTTCCTTCTTCAGTTGACAGAGTGTGGCCTTTGAGATAACTTCTGGGTGTTACCTATAGAATCAAAAAGAAACTGCTTGAGCTGTTATTTAAAAAAAAAAGTTTCTTTTTTAATGTATTTATATGGGATGGTGATCTTCATGGTTTTAGAGCTAACACATAATGACAGCTCTTACAAATATCTCAAAACATCTCTCTTTGCTTATTTAGGCCTGTCTCCTCCCTCCTACACATTTCCAGCTCCTGCAGCAGTTATACCTACTGAAGCTGCCATTTATCAACCTTCTGTGCTTTTGAACCCTCGAGCGCTGCAGCCCTCCACAGCATACTACCCAGCAGGCACTCAGCTCTTCATGAACTACACAGCATACTATCCCAGGTGAGACTATATGGAAGTAGAAATGAGAGACAGAAACAAAGGACACCATTGATAACCAGTGTCTGAGTTCACAAAAGAATATTGTCTGCCACATTGCAGGTTTTAGCATAGCAAGCAGCTTCTGGTTATATCTCTGACCACGGAGGTTGTTTCAAGACAACCTATTTAACCATCTATTGACAGCATGTACTTTTAGGTTACCTATGTATACAACTTTTTCCTTCTCTTAAGGCCATATGTGAGTAGCATGGTAATCATTGCAGTATCGTGAATGGAATTACAAAGCAGGAAAATCCATAAAGAGAACAATTATATATTTAAGTGGCATGAATTGATATGTCAACCCACAAATGAACTATTGTTTGAAATTTTACAGGGCTTTTATCTTCCCTTCAAATTCTTTAATAAACAAGTCAAAATGAGGTTACTAAGGACTTTCTTAGAATCAATATATTCTTTTTGGTTGTGATCCATTTCTGGGAAGCAGCAGGGTATAAAGGACAGAAATTGTTAGTCTGTAATGTCGAAGACCTGAGTTTTAGTCTCATTTCTTTTATATGGGTCATTTCTCTTCACCTTTCTGGTTCTTATAAAATGAAGGTATTGGCCAACTTCTTGGATTCTCTTCCAGGTCTATGATTTCTAGCTTGATTAAATAATAACTTCTCATTCATGGTCATCTTTTCAAAGAATTTTTTCAACTACTATTTATCCAGTAATCAGCTAACTTTGGCATAAGTAATATTACTCAAAAATTTCAAAATTATATCAGGCTTTATTTTTGCTTCTCAAGCTGTTTAGACTAAATGTTTTGAATATATCTATCATTATGTAAAAAGGTTTTTGCTGGGCCTCCCCGGTGGCGCAGCGGTTGAGCGCTGGGTTGTGAAGCTGCCCGCAGCCTCGGCGGCGCCGGTTCGATCCCGGCTGCTCTCCAGCCACCAGAGGAGGGTCCCACATGGCGCGCAGACCTCTCCTGCCGCCCGCTGCTCCCCTCAAAGTGTACTTCAGTCCTTCTGCCTGCTCTGCTCCCCGCTCTGGCTCTGGTGGATTCTCTCACCCTCCCACGCTTCTGACTGTACCCAGTGCATGTATAAACAAACAAACAAATAAATAAATAAATAAAACATGCCTCTATTAAAAAAAAAAAAATGGAAAAAAAAAAAAATAAATAAAAAGGTTTTTGCTAAGTGACCTGGAACTAACCTCTCTGATCCCTGCAGTTAATAAGTTTTAATTTTTCTTCCCTTTCCATCTATAGTTTTCCAGTAGAAAGGAAGAACTTCAAAATCTGTACAGCAGTGACGCTTATAGCAACTGTTAATTACATTTACTTTTGTTAGGAATTTTTAAAACAGTCATTAATCCTTTTGAAAATATTCTTTATTCTTCTGGGGAAGAGTAATAGGGAGAAAGCCATGATAAGCATCAGCTTGCTGCCTTTGGAAGGTTTGAAAAGATTCAGAAGCATGAGTAATTGTTCATGGTTGACTACCGTGTCAGCCACTGCTCCAGTCCCAATCTGTCACCTTCTGTGGACCCTGTGACAATTACCTGTGGTAGTGGACTTTGGTTATAAGAAGATCTTTTGTCTACCTTTTTTATGTAGCCAGAATTTCAGGAGTGGAATGCATTGAGCTGCTGGCTGCCTGGTGCAGCTTCTTGTGCCTATAATACATTTGCAGAGTATCCATTTCCACCATTGATGTGCTAGCTGAATGTTGTTAAAAGAAGGACTCTCTCAGTTTTCCATCACACTGAGATATGGGAACTTGAGTCTGGAATTAAAGCCCTAGCAGCAGGAGGAACTAACATTCATGGCCTAATAGTTCTTTTTTAGGCCTCAGCCTCTACGTTAATTTTTTTTTTTTTTTTACTAGTATTAAAGTTTGTAATGCCCTCATTGTGAAGTCTAAGAGGGTAGAAGTATAGTGAGTCAAGGTAGACTCTCACTTTACACAACTGTAAGTCCCGAAATAAATGCTAGTGCCAGTTAGACAACATATCCCTGTGTATGTGTACTTCAAAATCATGTGGCACACTTAACATGTACCGCCCATGAGATTATTTTTTTTTCTTTCTTCATTTGCCAGCATCTCATCGACTTTTCCCTAAGGGATATTTATTTATAGGTTTCACCTACTGTCTGAAAACAGAACATTCCTATTTGATAGGTTATATTGGGGGATCTGGGAATGCTCAAATTTTGCATATGAATTAATGGTAATAGTCTTCCCAGACACAAAAATAGCCTAAGTAGAAACATTCTGTTTTTGGATTGTGAGGGAAACCAGTATATGTCCACCTTCTGTAACTTATACATGGTGTCCAAAGAGTGAAAATACATAATTTAATGATGCTTTTATCTTTCAAACATCTAATTCTGTTTTTCTCTGCTACATAAAACTCATTGATCTTTAAATTTTCTATAGGATAATTTTACAGCAGTAGAATTTTTAAATTTAAGATCACGCATATTTATACTAAAACTTCCAAATAATCTTCAATGGTTATTTTAATTTACATTTCCCTAATTCTAATGAAATCCCCCCACCCCCCCACACACACAGAGAAAGAGTTCAAACACTGGGATATGCTTTTACTTAGTATGGTTTCAGCAGAATACCATGAATTTCTAACCTGACATAGGTATAAGATATTTGAAGCTATTGATAAACTGTTATATAAGCTTTCAAGTATATTTTTGCCTTTCCCTGATAAGTAGGGAAGTCTGAGATAGCATGTGTGAAGATTAAAAGATTATAAGTAATTCTGAAGTTTGTCTTTTTTAAAAAAATTAAAACATTGTATCCCCCCTCCATTTTTTAAGAATAATGTATGATGGTTTGACTTCAGGCTGATTAAACATGTTCAAGACTTTAAAATGTTAAGATGCTGATGTATTTTGCAAATTTCTTAAAGCATGCCTCGCAAAAAAAGGTGATTGATTTGAACTGTTTCTAACTTCATGTTTAACTGATTAAGCTAGTACTTAGTACCCCTATCAATGACCCATAAGGAATATTAAAATTAAAAACTCATGGACCCTTTGTAGAGTAGCTGACAGAATTTATCCCCGTCTGTTGTCAGTGGCTTCAAAGGGTTCCTTCAACTGGACGGCATGCATCTTATTTTACCTCCTCTGACTTGGCATATTTAAAATTTTGGAGATAAGGGCCTCCCCTGGTGGCGTGGTGGTTGAACATTGGGCTGCAAAGCTGCCCACAGCCTCTGAAGCGCCGGTTTGATCCATGGCCACTGGCGAGGGCCACATGGCGCGCAGACCTCCTGCTGCCCGATGCTTCCTTCAGCAGTGTACTTCAGTCCTTCTGCCTGTTCTGATCCCCACTCTGGCTCTGGTGAGTTCTCTCACCCTCCCGCGCTTCTATGCCCAGTGCTTGTATAAATAAATAAATCTTTAAAAAAAAAAAATGAAAAAATTTTGGAGATAAATTCAATAGTGAATATTACTCTGAAAATACAGTATCTTTAGCATAAGGATTCCTTAGGTTATCTGAGGGACATATGAGGAACCAAAAACCAAAGAATTGCTTTTCATTCATTAAATATATTTTTAGCCCTATCTATTTTTATCAAAAAATCTGTGGCTGTGATGATGGTGTCTTAAAGAGCAAGTGAAATTAAAGCATGTGTGTCTTCTTTTTTTCTGCTTATAGACAATTTGTTCCCTTTCTTCCCTTTAAGGACATTCTCATGTAGCCAGCACCCAGAGTGCTGGCTTTTAGGATACAAAAGAATTTGAAGTGAATCTATATCAATGCCCATCCCATTTAACACGTAAAAATCAGTTGTAGCATACTCCTTACTCCCATTACCTTTTATTCTGTCCTCACTTTTGGTAAAAAATAGTCTTTTTCATTCAAGTTGTAGCACAGGTGAGAAACATGCAGATTTTTCTATTAAATGTTATTTTTATATTATATTAGATAACATGAATGTCTAATGTACACTGCCCTAGTTTTCAGTAGGACACTGTAAGTAATAGTAACATCACCTTGATCAGAAAATGGGGGGGCAAAAGTTAATGGACATTTGTTATGGGTGATTTTTTTTTATATATATATATATATTTTAAAGATTTATTTATTTATACAAGAACCGGGGCACAGGCCAGATGTGCGGGAGGGTGATAGGATTCATCAGAGACAGAGCGGGGAGCAGAACAGGCAGACTGACGAAATACACAGCTGAGGGGAGCAGCGGGAGAGACAGGAGAGGTGCCATGTGGGTAGCTCCCTGGCTGGCAGGAATCGAACCCGCACTGCAGGGGCTTGCAGGCAGCTTCACAGTGCGGCGCTCAACCCGCTGCGCCACCAGGGAGGCCCCTGTTATGGGTAATTCTTTATTTGCACATACATGTGAAAAAACTTTCTTGGGATAACCATTTCTTATAAAATCAGCTTATTTCTATCTAAGCACTAAATATGTATATTTAGCAATACTCAGGCACTCTGATACTTGGTTTGTTTTGTAATGTTATTGTATTCTATTCTGGAATTCTTAGCATTTGAACCAGAAGAATACCAAACTCTTGAGAAATGCCTGCATTTCCTAGTATGAATACTTAGATTTCTCATTCCAATTTCCTTTTCCTTTTATTTGTTGGGTATTTAAATTCAGGTAAGTATAGGTTCACATTCAGTTGTAATAAATATTAAAGAGAGATCCCATATATACTTTATCTAGTTTCTCCCAACAGTAAGAAATTGGCAGCCAAATTACTTTCTGCTTTACTTGTTGAAGGTTTTCCACCTCATCTCAAGACAAGATGAAGATGGACTCTTTTTGAATGTTGCAGGCAAAATACGTCCATCTTCCAGTTGCTTGCTGGCAAATATCAGTCTTTGCTGACCAGGAGGAATTCCTTACTTATCCTGTATCCTGGCCTTTACATTTTTCTATTGTTTGCTGAGGGCTCAACCTCAAGAGATCGCCTCCCTCCTCTGTAAGGGTTTACACAAAAGTGCTTCTACAACAGA